CTCTTCAATCTTCTCCAAACTATTTAACAAATACTTGACTGAATCGAACATTTGGGTTGCATCCAGCTAAAAAAATTGTTAATATGGTTGAAAATAAACTATTCGAATTTAATTTGTTTACAAAGAAGCATATAATTTCCAGTGTACCTGTCGGTGTATCCGTGTACCTGACGGTGTATCAGTTATTAAAAAAATTTGGAAGATTAGGCTGATTAGGGGATGTAGTACCAACTTTGAAATACACATGGGCTACATTTAGCAGTTTTTGATGTTCCATAAAAAATCAATGATTTCAAATTTGTCGGGCAGTGATTGTAATTCATCCAACAGCCAGAATTCTGATGAAAACAATATTGAAGATGACGAGACTGAAAAAATTTATTTTACAAATTCAGTGGATTTACAGTCAAGTCAAAACAACGATTTGTTTAAGAGATAATGAGCTCACTGATTAATTATTCGACAACATTAATATTGCACAAACAATTAAAAAAGGTCCGGAGAATTGTACGGATGTTTCATAAATCACCTCTCAAGAATGAAGTTTTTCAAATTACGTAAAAATTGAACACAATAAAGAACTCAAGTTAATACTGGATGTAAAGAAAAGGTAGAATAGTCTTCTTGCAACGTTGAAGCGATTTATTGCATTAAAAACATGTATATTAAAAGCATTGATGGATTATAAACACAACAATATTAACAATATTTCGGAGGAGGAATATTTAGTGCTGCAAACTAAATAATCCAAGTTTTATTGGTTGTATCAGCGTTACAACCAATAAAACTTTGAATTTAAAGACTTGGCCGACGCAAAGTATGGCTTGATGTAGAGGGTGTTTAGTTTAGTTTCTATGAACAATTTTGTATTTATTTTCTTTATCTTTTTCTTATTAAAAATAATAGTATCAAAAACGCATTTATTTGTGTATTTGTTTGAATTTACACATTTTCCCCCGCATAATTAGATAAATTCTTGTTGTTATCTTATTCAGGGATTTACAAGGATCTCAGGATATAAAACATTTTTGTCCCAGAATCCTGGAAACTGAGTTTTTATGGGAAATGAGAAGCCCTAATTGCGACTTTGTTGACATTTCTATATTGATGAATGGCAACTCTCTCACTGGGCCCTTCACTTTACGCTGTCTTGGATTATCATTAACTGCTGGCCTCTTATAGAAAAAAAAAATACAATCCATTGAAAAGTTAACATTTGTTAATATTGCTTCTTTTTATAGTGTTTGTTAGTTTCTTACTACTAATTCCATTCTCTACCTCTAAAATTCTCTTATTTGTTCCAGTATCAAATGCTGTTGTCATATTTGAGCTGATTCTTCTAATGATGATCTTTCTCTTTTAGCCAAGGTTCAAGATGCATTGTAAATGTAGTTGGGCGTGCACTATCTACAAAACTTGAGCCACTCTCTAACAGTCGTAGGGTAGTATCTCTTTTTTTTTCTTTCACAAATACTATCATGGTCGCTGCTCAAACGAGCTACTATCTCTAGTTCCATCTAACTAAACTCATTTTTGCTTGACTAGTCATTCAGCAAAGTTGCATTATTTTTATTGTATATGCCCCTTCATGCTCTAATATTTTTTATTTGGTTAGTTTTTTTACCTGCACTTCAACCTTTTGGAACTCTCCCCCATCTTCATGTTTTTCTGACTCATACAACCTACAACTTTTCAAGTCTTCTGTCAACCGTTTCTTTGGTAACTCTATTATTTGTTTTCTAGTAACTTCCAACTTAATAGCAATTGTATGCAGCCTTGTTGGAAATGAACTTGAATTAAATAAAAAAATCTTATATTCAAAATAGTGTTTGACAACAATAAAAATAATTATGCATATGGAATAAATAATTATGCATATGGAATAAATATGAAATATATAATAACAAATATATAGTTAAAAAGTAATATTATATACTCTACAGCTTTTGTTTATCATTTACATCTCTGTTAATAACAAAATGCTGCTTATAGCTTTTCTTAAAAGTGATTTAAGTTTTGCTGTAACACAATTTCCTGTCTAGAGTGTGGTTGATAAAAATTTTTATTTAATCTAAATATAAATTTCATAAGCATATCATCGTCATTAACTATTGAGCTTATTTGTCATACAGAATAATTTAATTGCTTTTTGACCGCAAAACTCTTGGATACAAGACCAAGCGTCAAAATTATATGTTTTACTTTTTAATTATTTATTAAACCGCAGCTAAAGCATTGTCATAGCATCGTTCCTATATTGTTGTATAGAATTGAATGGATTGAATTAATATTATTTTTTCATGCTAAAAATGATTGCTTTAAACCTGTCAATTTAACCACTGTCAATTTTACTGTACTATAAAATTTAAAAAAAAGATTTAAGATGTTGCTAATTCTTGAAAAACATTTTTAAATTGTTAAAAGAATCCTATGTATAAAAGTCCAGTATTTTAAAATAAAATAATTGAAACAACTAACCTTAATGTAATTAATAAGTTGATCGGTAAAGTTAGTTAGTCTAAATGCTACAAAGTAGTTGAACTTGTGAGTACATTACTTTGATGACAAACATTTTAAAGGAAGGTTATCTAGAAATGTAAAATTTTTGTAACTGCTCTAGGTGAAGGTAATGAAAAGGTACATCAATCGGTATATAGACTTTAAATTATTTTAGCTTCTTTGCCAGTTACTTATACAACTAATGAAAAATCATTTTTGACTTTTTCGGGGCTGAAAACATTTTTTTTTTATTGTTATTTAGGTGCTCCAAGAAGACCTAACGGTTTTGTCACAGAGCACCGCGGAAGTGCATTTAACCAGGAAGTTCACGCCTCCTTTTTTACCGCAACACGAAAATATGTCCAAGGCTAGTTTCGAACCTCGATCTCCTATTTATAAAGCAAGCGCTCTAACCACTGCGCCACGGCCGCACAAACTGAGGAATACCATAAAGAAAAACTAAGTTAGTGAGTTAACATTACTAAACATTCACATTGACACATAAGTATGTGAAGAAGTTATTGAAAATAAAGCTAGAAAGAGTAGCCGTATTAAACTAATATAAACACTATTGTTAAAATTTGAATCATAAATATTTATGAAAAAGTAAAACAGATTATTTTAAATAATAATTTGGAAAATTCATCCAATATTACACAGCTCAGTACAAAAGATACACATCAGTGAGATAAAAAAATATTTGCATGCATCTCAAATGTAATTGCTTAGTGGTTAAGATCACTTATACACAGATTTTGTATACAGGTGGTCACAAATTTTGGAAAAGAAGAGTTCTAAAAAGTTTTCACAGACAATAAAGTCCCTATTTTACAGTCAATAAAATGTATTTTTGATCTTATAAAGTTGTTGATTTACGCTACCAAAGTTGAATTTTACGCAAATTATTTGACAAGCTGTTGACTTACGCAATCAAAGTTGCAAATTATTTGATGCGCTAAGAATTGAGATTAATAAAAGGTAATGAACGTTTTTTCTACAAAAATTGGTCTATTATTTTTTCCATAGCTAATTTTTAATAATATATGAACCATCAAAGCTTAGACATAAAACGTATACTATTGGTGTAGAACTCTTTAGAATTTAAATCTAACCCAGCTAACACAAAATATTCAACGAACACTGCAAAGGTTCAAGAACGTTTTATGAACGTTTATAAAACGTGCTCTAACGTTAATTGAACGTACTTGAACATTTTGTGTTAGCTGGGAAGAATTTCTCAAGTTTTTTTAAAGCACAAGCAGTAGCTTAGTGATTAAAAAATAATAATAATCTTTTAGCCTTTACTCAAGCGAGTTTAGCGAGTTAACTCAAGCCGAATCAAGACATATCATTTCAGCTTTAATAATTTTGCGAAATTAATTTTGAATAGTTAGAATATAGATTTTAAATTTTAAGAATTTTTTATTATGAAATTATACAGGCGTTTAGAGGAGTTAAACTTTGCTATGACCCGGATTTGTTTTTAACAGCTCTGCTTGAAGCTTGTTGAATTTAGCACAGTAGGTTCCTACTGTAGCTGTGATGCATGGCGAAACCAGTTCTCAGTACACAACGTCATGCATGTTCCGTCAAACCAAAAGCAACAACTTTTTGGAGTGTAAGTTGACTTTCGGAAATTTCTATTGTGGTTAACGCAGAGCACCCAATTTTTAACGTTTATAATGATAGAGTCAAGCAAGTTAGCAGAGATGTACTTGATTCACGGGTGATTAAAACGATGATTTATTTCAGCCGTTTTTTAATTGAAACTAAGATATACCGTGCCATGTCCACGTGAATCAAGTATTGAGCAGCCGTGGTGTAGTGGTAGCGCACTTGCCTCAGAAACAAATGATCCGTAGTTCGAACCCCACCTCTGGGAAAGTTTTGCGATATTAGTTAGGAAGGAGGCGTGAACTTTCTATTAAATGGCCTGATAGTTGTTTCACGCCATAAATATAATCAAATAGTGAAAAGTGCGAATAGCTTCCAAAACTAGTAGTTTTCAGAGAAGTTGGTTTTTTAAACCAATGTTTTATTACTTTTTAGCTTGTTATACTCAACTGAATTCAAACGGAATTATAACTGCTTATGCTAATAATATACATGCTTTTGATACTCGATTTCAAAAGCATGTATATTATTATGGCATGGAAAAAACCAACATTAGCAATTATGAAATATTTTGAACAAATTCAATTGTTTGTGCTCTCAAGCTTTCAATGAGACAGTCTTTTTGGACTCAGATTGATACAACAGGAAGTTAGTGTTTTGTAAAATTCAGAAAACTGCGTTGTTATCGTGTTATCGATCGTTATCGTTGTTATCGTGTTATCGATCAATAGTAGAATAGTAATAACTTTTTTAAACAAAAGGTGTAAAGCCGATCATTCACCTACTAAATCCCTTCTTTTTAATGAGAGTTATCGTTTCATAAAAGAACAAACAATTGTAGCATTGTCAAGACATTAAAAATAAGATTCTAAGATATTTTTTTGTCATTGGTTTGGCTTTTTTTTTTCCATGCGTTTTTTTAAATTTTTCACTTAGTGAAATTATTTAGCATGATGAAATTCATAGAGGATTTTTCAGAGTTTTCAGAGGTATAACTAACGTTTTACCACTTTTTCTGGCTTTCATATTATTACTTTTTGCTCTCTTGTGAAGTAGTGAATAAGTTTTGAATTTTATTTTTCTGTAGGGTAGGTAAAAGACAGGGCCAGATGCAGGCGTGAAATGTTACACACGTAACATTTCATGTTACGTGTGTAACATTTATACACATTTTGACAAAAAAAACGTATTACTCCTCTCAACCGCTAAAAAATAACTTATTAATTTTGCGGTTGCTTTATATATATATATATATATATATATATATATATATATATATATATATATATATATATATATATATATATATATATATATATATATATATATATATATATATATATATATATACATATATATATATATATATATATATATATATATATATATATATATATATATATATATATATATATATATATATATATATATATATATATATATATATATATATATATATATATATATATATATATATATATATATATATATAGTCTTTCAATATTGACATTGGTTGATTGTATCAATTATTTTTTTGATTTAGACTTGGAGGATCCATTTTAGTGAATTAAAGAAAGTGTTATGAGGTGTTATAGAGCTAAGTTAAGGCGCTATGATTGGCTTCCGAACTTAACTACCGCTTTAACGAATAACGTTCCTGACTAACAGGTAGCATACAGGCGTTTTCTTAAATAAATCTTAGAAAACAATCTTAATAATAATATATCTAAAGTTGGTTTTTATAATAAAAGTGGTTTGTGTGAAACAATCTGAATATCTATTTAATGCGCTATTTAAAAATTATCAAGTACCTTTGTATATCAAAAGTTTTTATTTCTCATTGACTTTTTATTTTTATTTACCTTTTCTTTATAATTTTTAATATTGACCTTTTCATTGTTTAGTTTCAAAAAAGCTAATAGTATAGCATATTATATGAAATTTAATTATCATTTGGCTTGATATATATATATATATATATATATATATATATATATATATATATATATATATATATATATATATATATATATATATATATATATATATATATATATATATATATATATATATTTATTTATTTATTTATATTTATATGTATGTATGTATGTAAATTCTATTTACTTATTTTAGGTTCATTCAGTTTTATCATATTTGAAGTAGCAATTAAAGTGTCCGAATTGTTTTTGTATGCAACTTAAAGATCCATTATGATAATAAAATTTGACATAAAATGCTATACTGTTGTTGATTTTTGTTATTACTATTATTACTATTAATATTGTAATCATCTATATATTTATATAATACTAGTTTTGATCAAAGCATGTATTTAATTAAAGATTTTTTGAAAATTGATTTTAGCAATAAAAAAATTTAACTTATATAGGTGTTTACAACTTTCATGGTTTCAAATTTTGTATAGTTATAAAAAACTTCATTAAAATAAATTTTAGTTACTAAAATGACTAAGGGTAAGAAAAGACTACGCAAAAAAGATATAGGGTTGCCACAAAATTTTCAGCATCAGTTTCATATGACATATGATAACAGAGTTGGCAATTTTGTTGGTGTTCCTCCTCAATGGAAAAAATTTCTCGGCAAAGAATTTGAACGCCCTCAACCAATTATAGACCCTATGTATGTTACAGATATTGAACCAGGAACATTAGTATTGCAATCACAGTCAAGCAGCAAAATAAATCATATACCAAATCCAGGTAGAATTAATATAGCACGTTCTAACTCGTTACGTCAACTCTCTATAAAAAACAAAATAAAGGAAGAGACTAAAGTTAATGATGTTTCGCCTGAACAAAAAAATGAAAGTATAGATTTTGATAGAAATCAAGCTTCATATAAAAGTCTACCCAAAAACATTTATTCTACTCAACGAAAAGAATACTTTGACTCTAAAAGGAGTAACGATTTAGTTGATAGTAGAATAGAGCACGATTCCTCCAAACCTAATATTAGTAACGATACCCAAAGTGTTTTGCCACGAGACGATGTCTTTATTTCTCATGATGAATTTCGAGAAGCTTTAGAATTAGTTGTTTGTAGAGATGATCCAAAGCTTTTTTTTGAAAACTTTGTAAAAATTGGCGAAGGTTCTACTGGTATTGTTTGTATAGCTAAAGATAAAAGATCTGGAAAACAAGTAGCTGTCAAAAAAATGGATCTTAAAAAGCAACAACGAAGAGAGCTGTTATTTAATGAGGTATTTAAAAAGAATTTTCAACATGCTAAATTATTGATAAATAATTTTAGTATAAAGATTTTTTTAAAAAAAAGAGTTTTTATTGGTGAAAACTTTTTAACAATACTATTGTATCTATCAGGTTATTGATTTTTTGTTATATTATTTGGTTTACTGTTTTTTATTTATTATTTGCTGTCATTTTGTAGAATAATAGCTTAATGTTACCCTCCCCCACCTCACCCCTCCCCCACCACTATGATTTTAGGTTTACATTAAATAATTATATTAGATTATTGGATTTTATATTTTTTTTAAGTAGTTTTTTAGTAGCATGATTTTTAGTAGCATGATTTTTAATTCTTTGTTTAAATTCTTTGGTTTGAAAATAAGTAAGTTAATAGAAGTTTAATTTATTTAGGGGGTTTTAGAATTTTCAATTTAAAGATAGATTTAAATAATTTATGTTGGTTGTCTCCTATAAGTTATTTAATTATCTTCTAATTTTGTTGTTAGCATGTGTTGTCTTATACTGGAAAATATAAACATTTCTGAAGTTAAATCTAGTTTGGTCTTGTAGTTATTTTAGATGTTTTTTGTGTACACAAAGTAGTACACCACAGTTTGTGGGGAGTGCATAATACTTAAAATCCAACATTGGGATTTAATGTTATGTAATGGAAGCATTTGTTTAATAAAATTTTGTTTTTGATATTCAGACTAACATCAACTATATACTTTGTTATAAATTTATTGTAGTGAGGCTGCACAGGTTATTGTAGCCTCTAAATCACTGAAGAAAGATGTTATAATCAAGTTGAAGATGTTGTTTTGTGTTGATTTTGAATAATGTGAAAAAGATGTAATGCTGGTAATAAACACTGACTTATGTTTAATTGAGGGTAGATAAATTCATAAAAAAAAACTATGAACGACCTTTGTAAAATTGCTCTTGTTTTTCTGTTGCTGTTTCTCTTAATGGTACCATCTATACCATCAAAAGAAATATTCCCGTGCCTAGTTGCTAAAAATACCCAATCAGCTCACATAAATCAAATGTTTGCAGTGGTATAGATTAAAAATTTTTTATAGTTTCTAAAATAAACAAAATATCCATTGGAGTAATTCATAAAAAAAAACTATGAACGACCTTTGTAAAATTGCTCTTGTTTTTCTGTTGCTGTTTCTCTTAATGGTACCATCTATACCATCAAAAGAAATATTCCCGTGCCTAGTTGCTAAAAATACCCAATCAGCTCACATAAATCAAATGTTTGCAGTGGTATAGATTAAAAAATTTTTATAGTTTCTAAAATAAACAAAATATCCATTGGAGGAATAGTAAATTTTATTGATATCAATTAAATATTATTAATGTGATCTTCTTTTTTAAAGTTTATACATGTAGCATGGATCACAGCTATTATGATCACTTGAAAAATAGAAGAACTAGTGCTGTATATCTGGTTTAGAAACTTTCCCAAAGATTAAGTTAGAATTCATTTTTTGTCAATCTCACATAATTCCTTATCTAAAGTTTTTTTTAATGTTATTCACCTCCGGATGGCCAAGCGTGTCATTACAGTCAAGGAGGCTACTTTATTGTGATTACAATCCTCTTTAAACTCTTTAACTTTAACATATGAATTGACAAACAAAATTGCTGTGCAAAGAAACAAGTTAAGCACAGTATACCAAGGACATGGTGAGGTACTGTGGTACCAAACTCTTCTTGCTTATGAAGCAAGTACTCTACCACTACACCACTACAGCATAATCTTTAGGCTGTCAAAACCTGGAAATTTTGCACATCTATGAACCATGAATTTGTTTTTGTCTGTATCACATACTAATTTTGCAATTATATTTTTGCATGTACCAGTAGATAGCATTTACAAGCTTTTTTGTTAAGTTTTTATTTGGGGCAACCAATAGCAATAGTCTTACTTTTATTTTTAAGTCTTCTAGAGATTTTTAAGAACTTCTAGAGAAACTTCAGAACATTTCGCATATTTCTGATACCAAAAATTATATGTAAGAGTTAATGTTTTTTTAGTGTAACTAAACTTTAAATTTTTCTGTTATTTAAACTTTTTAATTGATCAAGAATTATTTGTGTTTATTGGTAGGATGACTAAAAAAATGGGGACTAAACCAAAATTATCAGTATATATTCCATAAACAATTACTATTCCTTTTTCCATTTTTTTGTAGGCTTCAACTTTTTTTTTTTTTTTTACCTTTACAACTTTACAACATGCAGACCAAAAGACCAATCCTAAAAAACCTATAAAAAGTGTGACATTCTTAAATTTTTTCAATGTTGCTTCTTCATCTTGCTTTCCTGATTCATATAATTTGCAATCTTTTAAGTCGTTTGTCAATCGTTATTTTGCTCTACAAACTTCATCTTTTCTCTTCCAGTAACTTCCAACTTTTATAGTGGTTGCTTGCAGTTTTGTTGGATATAAAAGCATTAAAACATCATATACAGTATCATACTATTTATTTCTTTTCTCTATAAGTGATATTTCGGCTCATATAGTGAGAACCATTATCAAACTAAAAAAAAAACGTTTAAAAAAATTATAATAAACGTAAACAAATGATGTCATTGCAACGTCAGATATCCAACATTTTTTAATTTTACAAAAGTTGGTTTCCAATGGTGAGTCATCACCAAATTGCCATTGTCGCTATTTAAAACATTTTCTTTAGGTTTTGAACATTGTACACATTGTATTTCAATAACCTCACAAATTTTTCTGGAGTAGTTGTTTGAAATAATGGAAAGCATTTTAGGGTTCTACCAGTTTATTTTGCCATTACAATGTTGCGAGTGTTCTACTATTCCTGATGTTTCCCAGCTGGCTTTTGTAACATTATTTTAATGTTCTTGAAACCTTTTTTCTTGTTTCACCAATATAACATGCACCACATGTGCAATTAAGTTGGTACACTCCTGGATGACTATTCGGAGGCAGTTTAGACTTGTTACGGCAAAGTATATTGATTAAGAGATTACCAAAACAGAATACTGTTTTATAGCCAACTTTACAAAATTCTTTTCTAACTTTGGCTTAACTTTGGGACCCATGGTAAAATAACTAGATTTTTGGTATCAAATTTTTGAGATTAAAATAGATTTGTGGAATATATATAATTTTTAACAATATCTGAATACTGTTTATAGGAATTTCCATTTTCAGTAAAAATCTTAATAAGAAAATTAATTTCATCCTGAATGTTATGATATGAACAAATTTTGTATGCTCGAGCTAAAAAACCTTTAAAAACACCGACAGCGATATTCAGTCAAATAGATGATTTCGGTTTTATATGTAAGTTTGTAATTGCATCTTTATGGTGTATGGAAAACTCATATTTGTAAAGAGAGTGATTAGTTGAAATACAAACATCTAAAAAATTTAATTGGTGTTGAGCATTTTCGTATTCGCATGTATATTGGATAGATTTATCTTGTGAATTTAAAAGTGTTAAAAAAGAATTTGCGTCATCAATATTAGTAAATCGGGCATGGCTATCATCAACGTAACGTTTTTGGTGCAATATTGACGTTTAGAGCCTGTTGAATAGCATTAGATTCATTATGTTGTAGATATGCTTCTGACAAGACGACCATTATGGATAGACCTATTAAACCAGAGTTTTTTAAAATATATATTTTGTCTTCCCATAAAAAATAACACTTATTAATGCAGAGATCAATTAGTTTATGAATATCTACTAAAGATAACTTAGTTTGTTGTATTAGATCATCTCTATCTTTGTTTAGCATATCAATAGTTGTTTTATCAAGTGGTACTGATAGGTATAAATTAATAACATCAAATGACACTTGAACTTCATCATTAATAAACCATTCTTTTGCTATTGATACAAATGAAAATGAATCTTTAACACAGCATTCATTTTTAGTTAAAGTTGGTTGTATAATCTCAACAAGATGTTGCAAGTTTATGAGGTGGTGTGCCGATTGTTGAGACTATTATTCACATTGGATAAGCTTTAATACAACCATACAAACGGGGCGAAATTGCATCTGAAGGATATATTTTACCATATGTTTTTTTATCTAGTTTTTTATGTTTTTTTAATTTTCTAAGGGTACGTTTTAGAAACTTTTGAGTTGGATCAATTGCAGATATTGTGCAATTGCCAAGTTGTTCTTTTATTTTTTTGTATTGCTGAGTCCGAATTTAAAATGGCAAACCCATTACCTTTATCAAAAAGATATAACTTTATGTTGGTTGAATTTTTGAGTTCATTGATAGCTAAACGATGATTTTTAGAAATGTTATTTTCAATTTTCACTCTTAAATATTTGGTTAATGTTTTGCTGATAATTTGTCTTAAAATTTCTGCTCTTTCGTTCACATTTTTTTCAATATTGAAAGCGCATTCCTCAGTTTATGTTATAATATCAATAAATGGTATTTTATTTTGTGTTGGAATAAATTGCGGACTAAGACTTAATAAATTTTCCTGTTCACCTACTAACCTTATAAAAAATCCAATATTAAATCTTTCAAATATTTATATATTTGAAAGATTTAATATTGGATTTTTTATAAGGTTAGTAGGTGGTATTGAAATAATATTCAAAGAATTAAATTTTTTTAAACTATCATTCTTTTTAGAATTGATAAGAAAATTGAACTTACGTATAAGGTGTTGTTTTGTTTGTTCAAATTTAATTTTTCTTGATTTATTAGTTATGTGTTCTATGTTTAACATATCTTCAGGTTTCATAATATTTTTAATTGTATTCGATAGTTTGATTGCATTTGATTGTTTGCTCTGGTAAAATCTTTTTTTAGCGTCATTTTTTGCAATAATTAATAATTTTTTTCTATAATCGACCATTAGATTGTAACCATTTTTTTGTTTTAACTGGACAATGAATGTGAAAAGATTTAGGTATGTCATTAAGTTCCTTATATTAATATTAAATTAATGGAATAGTTAATTACATTATGAAAATAATATCATACTATGAT